CGGAGGGTCAGGAGGGAGCGCCACACTGTCGGAGGGTCAGTGTTGAGGGAACGCCGCACTGTCGGAGGGTCAGTGCTGAGGGAGTGCCGCAATGTCGGAGGGTCTGTATGAGGGAGGGCTCCTGTCAGCTGAATGATAAACATCCAATGCCGTCAATCCCAGGAAAAGCAGGGGTAAATCTCCCCGGTGCCGGGCCAGCAATATTTATCCCTTAATCAGCGTCACCAAAACTGACAATCAACCATCATCCACCTGCTGTTAATGGGGTCTTGCTGTGCACAAATCAGCTGCTGCATTTCCTAATTTGCAGCATGGACTGCTCTTCACAAAGCATTCCCTCTGCTTCAGATCACTGTGGGGTTGTGAATGGCACTACATGAATGCAGTCATTGCCTGGCAGTGAGAAAGAGACCAGCGTGAAATTGGTGGTGAACTGATCATGGGAGACACTTTTATCACCGTGAGGGGTATCTCATCCACACGTGTGGAGTGAGTAAACATCGCACAGCCCCTAGGGAGCTCCTCCCACTGCTCACCTTACATCACAAACACTCCCTGGCCTTGGTTATCAGGCGTGGCACCAGCATAGGAAGATCCCATCAACAATCCTGGGTTGATGGTGGGATCTCCAACCCTTGCAAGTTCCCCTCCAAGCCACTCACCATCCTGATTTGGAAATACATCACCGTCGATTCACTGTCACTGGGTCAAAATCCTGGAATTCCCTCCCTAAGGCCATTGTGGGTCAACCCACAGCACATGGACTGCAGCGGTTCAAGGAGGCAGCTCCCCACCACCTTCTCAAGGGGCAACTAGGGATGGGTAAATTATGTATTGGTTCAAAGAATCTCATTGGAAAATGAGAAAATGCTGGGCAGGGTAAGGCACTGCCCCCAAACCTGGGGTTGAGAGGCACGAGTGGAAGGGAACAGAATCCCCCCTGTCCAGCTTAATCCTCCCCCTCACCTCCCCCCAATCCGATCCTAACTGGGAGGCACATGCTGAGGGTCGGTGAGGATACTCTGCATTGACTGCCTCAGCAGTACGTCTCACCAGTCTTTGCCATCTACAACAACAACTTGCATTTATCTAGCACCTGAAGGGAATTAAAAATTCCCGAGATGCTTTGCCTTAATGCAAATCAGGTCAAGATTGACACTGAGGCATGGAAGTAGATATTAGGGCAGGTGACCAGGAGCTTGGTCTCAGAGGTAGATTTTTGTTATAATTCATTCATAGGATGAAGGCATCACTGGCTAGGCAGCATTTATTGCCCATCCCTAATTGCCCAGAGGGCAGTTAAGAGTCAATCACGTTGCTGTGGGTCTGGAGTCACATGTAGGCCAGACCAGGTAAGGATGGCAGTTTCCTTCCCTAAAGGACATTGGTGAAACAGATGGGCTTTTCCCCCCAATAATTGGCAATGGGTTCATAGTCATCATTGGACTCTTCAATTTCAGATTTTTACTGAATTCAAATTCCACCATCTGCCTTGGTGGAATTTGAACCCAGGTCCCCATTACCTGGGCTTCTGGGATTAACAGGTCCAGTGATAATACCACTACACTATCACCTCCCCAGAAACAGTGAACCCGCAACAGTGTTTCGAGGGAGCAAGGTGAGGCCGAGGTCCAGAAGGATTTAGGGAGTACCTCCAGGGCTCCCAAGCGGCTAAAGGCACAGCCCCAATGGGAACTGGAGGAGCTTGAGAGATCTTGGAGGATTTTGGGGTTGGACAGGATGTCAGAGATAGGGAGGGGCCGCACCATGGAGGACATTTGAAAACGAGGACGGGGATTATAAAATAAATGGGAGAAACGAAGACCATAAGATGTAGCAGCAGAAGTAGGCCATTCGGCCCATGGAGTCTGCTCCATCATCTGATGAGATTGACGCAGATCTGATAATCCTCAATTCTACTTTCCTGCCTTTTCCCCAGAACCCTCAATACCCTCACTGAAAGTGAAAACTAAAGTCACTATAGTCTTACCAGACCATGTACCTGCTCTCTCATTCGAGAGAGAGAGACAGCTGGTGGGGGTTTAACCTGAGGGTCACCATGCCTCAGGCAAGGGGAGATGTTGATTAGGAGAATCCTTCATGGTAACCAAACTCTCTCAGCCTCGAATATACTTAATGTCCCAGCCTCAGCTGCCCTCTGCAGTAAAGAATTCCACAGGTTCATTTGAGATTCCACGAGCTACAAAGCTACTCCAAAACCTTAGAGGTTCACTATCCCTCTGGGAAGAGGAAATTCTTCCTCATCTTTGTCTTAAATAGGTGTCCCCCTTATTCTGAGATTATATCCTCTGGTCCTCGACCTCTTATGTATTAATGTTAATCTTTCTCTGTCGCTGTAACATTGTATTCTGCATTGTGTTCTACTGTCCTGATGTACTTATGTAAGTTATGGTAGCACACAAAACAGTACTTTTCACTGTGTCTCGGTACATGAGGCAATAAGAAATCAATACAAATGGAATCAAGAGGGGAAGAAGCAGGAGGTTTTAACCAACAGTGATGTTGCTTTATGCTTTGTAGGAATGTTGATGTTCGGAATCTCACACCTACTGTACACTTGGGCTTTCGGACTGCGGCCACTGAGGCTCTGGATAGCTCTAATGTTGCTGCTGCTCAGCGTGATCTACTACGTTGCTGTCTACTCTTACCTGAGAGGCCCCATGATCTACGCCATGGCGGGCTACATCGTGATGCTGGGTCTGATGAGTTGGCGAGCCTTGGCGCGCGTGGCTTGCTCTAGTTACGAACGAACGTGGGGACGGAGTTGCACGGCGGCAGGAGCTGTGATCTTTATCGCCTCCGACTTGGTGCTGGCCATCGACCGGTTCTGCTTCACCGTGCCGCACGCCCGCGCCATCGTCATGTCGACCTACTATGGGGCCCAGATGCTAATCTCGCTGTCCATCGTCGAACAGAGCGAGCCGGATATGTTCTGGAAGCGGAATTGAAAAGAGAGAGAACCTCAAGCCACCAGAAACGGATCAAAGAGACTCAAAGCAGGAGCTGTACTGTCCAACCCAACGCCATGTGAATAATGCCAGTGAACAGGAATTGTTTGCAATGTGAATTAAACCTCTGTTATAAATTAAAAGATAAACTTTCTGAACCAAGACCACACTTTTAGCTTTATCCCAGTTAAGCACACTTTGTAAAACGCATCGCCCCACCATGAATGACCAACTCCCTGTATTAAACGACCAATCCATGCTTAACTAACCCTTCGTTCATCTGGCTGTTGGTTAGCTCAGTTGGCTGGATAGCTGGTCTGTGATGCACAGTGGTACCAACAGAATGCGTTTGATTCCTGCATCAACTGAGGTTTCTATGTTGGACTCTCCTCAACCTCTCCCCTTGCCTGAGGTGTGGTGACCCTCAGGTTAAACCACCAGCAGTTGTCTCTCTCTCTCTCTGTAGAGAGCAGCCCTGTGGCCTAGGCAAGGCTATAGTGATTTTACCTTTAAACATGTCCATCACTTGTTCCTGTTCCCCTCTTCCTTTAGATCTTGAGCATCCATTCAGACTATATTGGATGGTAGCTCCTGCATGCGGACCCATTCCTTCGTGCTTGAACCTCACTTGCCAGGTCTTGCTGTCTCTAAGCACGGTGATGCGGACAAGCAATGGCTCAGACAAGGGATCGGGAGCTCGGGAGCTCAGCACGATCCCACGGGAAATGGGCCAAGCCAACGTGACAAATGGTGGCGTTCCGAATGAGGAGCTCACACCAACTCTTGAGTCCCGCGTCACAGTCCATTGTTGGCACCAAAAGCTGATCAAACCTTGGCTGGGCCTTTGGGAATACGAGGAGGCCGTTCAGCCCATCCGACCTGCCCTGCTATTCGTAGCTGATTGAAATCGGTGCACGTCCGAAGGCAGGTGCCACGCCCCAAACCCAGAACAAAAACAATCTCCCCAGCGAGGTTCCAGTCAGTTCCAGCTGTTAGAGAGCCCCTTCCTCACCTCACCCCCCCACCCTGCCCTGGGCCTTTAAACGGACGTGTGGGATACGGTTAACCTGTGTGAAAATGCTCACGAACTCTGAAAAGTACTGCACCAAAGGGAAGGGGAAAAGATGCCATCTGGACCAGATCTCAGTGTTAGTCTGGAGAAGGCAATCACTTATCGCCTTCTGGCACTATCGTCAGTGAATGGACGCTGGTTCAAGGTATTTCCTCATCGGTTATTACACAGTCGGTGGGGAAGGTGGGACCTGAATCCAGGCCTCCTGGCTCAGAGGTAGATGCACTACCACAACAGTCCCTAAGCCTGTGTACTCAGGGTAACTGCAATGGAAGGGAGTTGGTCTTACTGCACGTGTGAAGCATTAGAACAGCCACTGAGTTTCTATAAAACCCCTACAGTGTGGAAGCTGGCCATTCTGCCCACATCAACCCTCTGAACAGCATCTCACCCAGGCCCACCCTGTAAACCCGCATGGCCGGTCCACCCAACCTGCACATCTTTGGACTGTGGGAGGAAACCCACACAGACACAGGGAGAATGTGCAAACTCCACACAGACAGTCACCCGAGGATGGAATCGAACCCAGGTCCCTGCCAATGTGGGGCAGCAGTGCTAACCACTGAGCCACTATGCTGCCTGTATATGACTTGATTAAACTCTTGAAACAAGTAGCTTCCTATTTATTGTCTGCACTTGGAGTATTGTGTTCAGTTTTGGTCACTTTGCTATAGGAGGGATGTTATTAAACTGGAAAGAGTGTAGAAGAAATTTACAAGGATGTTGCCAGGACTCAAGAGACTGAGTTATAGGGAGAGGTTGGACAAACTAGGACTTTTTTCCTTACAACGTAGGAGACTAAGGAGGATCTTCTAGCAGTGTATAAGTGCTTGAGAGGCATGGATAGGGTGAATGCACTCAGTCTTTTCCTCAGGGGTGGGGAATAGAGGACTAGAGGGGATCAGTTTAAGGTAAGAGGGGAAAGAATACATGGAAACCTGAGGGGCAACCTTTTTTACACAGAGGGTGGTATGTATATGGAATGACCTGCCAGTGGAAGTGGTTGAGGGGGGGTACATTAACAATGTTCAAAAGGCATTTGGATAATACGTGGATAGGAAAGGTTCAGCAGGATATGGGTAATGTGCAGGGAAATGGTTTAGTGTGGATGGACATTTTGGACATAAGGGACTAGTTTGGGCCGAAGGGCTGTCTCCGTGCTGTAGGACTCTACAACTCTATGATGCTATATATGATATAAAATCTTATCTCTCATCAGGGGCAGGCCGCACTTGGAAAAAATGATGTTCTTTCTCATGACAGCTGCATTTATGTTGCATCGATACAACTGCACCAGGTTACCCCTCGAAAGTTGCAAAATGCTAACTGCCCAGTGGGAGAGTTTGTAACGGTGGTTCTGCCAATGTGTTCAATTGGGAATGTAAACTGTGGCTTGGAAAAGCAGTGATTTACACACAGGAGACCCACAGTCCCCAGAGGAGACATTATCCTGAGGACATTCACATCCCACAGGAGCAGTCACCAAGGAAAAAGAGCAGGGGCCGTGAGAGGAAGAAAGAATTTGCCTTTCTCTAAACCACCTCAGATTATCTCAAAGCAATTTAATATCAATAAAGCATTTTTACAGTGTAGCCACTGTGATAATGCAGGAAAACAAGTGGATAATCTGTGCATCGCAAGCTCCCACATGTAACAATAACAGGATCATTTGCATGTGATGATGTTTCAGAGCATTTTACTGGGACACAAACCAGAGAGAGCATTTTGCTTTTCTATTGATACGGACTGTGGGATTATCACCGAGAGCACAGGCAGAACTTTTTGATTTTACATCTCATTTACAAGCAGAGTACTTCCAATAGTGGAAAATGAAATATCCTCAACAGTGACCCTCTGACAGTGTGGCACACCCGCAGTACTGACCTTCCGACAGTGCGGCGCTCCCTCATCACTGATCCTCCAACAATACAGCACTCCCTCAGCACTGACGCTCCAACAGTGCGGCGGTCCCTCAGCACTGACCCTCCAACAATGCAGCACTCCCTCAGTACTGACCCTCCGACAGTGCGGCACTTCCTCATCACTGACCCTCCAACAATGCAGCTCTCCCTCAGCACTGACCCTCCGAAAGTGCAGCACTTCCTCAGCACTGACCGTCCGACAGTGCGGCACTCCCTCAGCACTGACCCTCCGACAGTGCGGCGCTCCCTCAGTACTGACCCTCCGACAGTGCGGCGCTCCCTCAGCACTGACCCTCCGACAGTGCGGCGCTCCCTCAGTACTGACCCTCCGACAGTGCGGCGCTCCCTCAGTACTGACCCTCCGACAGTGCAGCGCTCCCTCAGCACTGACCCTCCGACAGTGCAGCACTCCCTCAGTATTGTACTGGGGGTGTTGACTGGTATTCTCAAATCCAGATTCATATCCAAAATCTTTTCTGTAGAGTTTACACTGAGACAATATAAGACTCATTTCTTTAATCTTAGATTTTTCTCTGTGTTGCTCTGTTCCCTTTTCACTTATTTTTGTGTCTCGTCAGCCATTTCGTCCTTCCATTTCTCTGACTTTCTCACACATTCGCCTCTTTTCTCTTTCTCACCCTCTTTCTACCTGGATACTGTCTTCCAGCAGAGGGCAGCCTGTACATGGTTCCAGTTGTATTAACCCTTCGAGCTCTGCATTGCTCTCCCATTTCCCTGCACATGGCCCATATCCTTCTCAACTTTTCGTATCCACGTATTAGTCTAAATGCCTTTCAAAAGTTGTTAATGTACCCGCCTCAACCACTTCCGCTGGCAGCTCATTCCATATGCATACCACCCTCTGTGTAAAAAAGTTGCTCCCCAGGTTTCCATGTATTCTTTCCCCCTTACCTTAAACTGATGCCCCCGGTCCTTTGATTCCCCACCCCTGGGAGAAAGACTGAGTGCATTCACCCTATCCATGCCTCTCATGATCCTATACACTTCTATAAGATCCCCACTCAATCTCCTACAGTCTAAAGAAAAAAGTCCTTGCTTGTCCAACCTCTCCTTATTACTCAGTGTCTTGAGTCCTGGCAACATCCTTGTAAATTTCTTCTGTACTCTGCCCAATTTAATAACATTCTTCCTTTGGCAAGGTGACCAAAACCAAACACAATACTCCAAGTGCGGCCTCACCAACATCCTGTACAACTGCAACATAACTTTCCAACATCTATACTCAATGCCCTGACTGATGAAGGCCAGTGTGCCAAAAGCCTTCTTCACCGCCCTGTCTACCTGTGACTCCACTTTCAGAGAACCATGCACCTGAACTCCAAGGTCCCTCTGTTCCACTACACTCCTTAAGGCCCTACCATTCACCATGAAAATCCTCCCTTGATTTGATATTCCAAATTGCACCACTCACACTTATCTATATTAAGCTCCATTTGCCATTTCTCGGCCCACTTCCCCAGCTGATCAAGATCCTGCTGCAATTTCTGATAACCTTCCTCACTGTCCACAATACCGCCTATTTTAGTGTCATCCGCAAACTTACTAATCATGCCCTGTACATTCTCAACCAAATCATTGATAGAGATAACGTACAGCAATGGGCCCAGCACTGACCCTGAGGCACACCACTACTCACAGGCCTCCAGTCGACAAGCATCCTTCCACTATTACTCTCTGCTTCCGACCATCAACCCAATTGTGTATCCAATTTGCCAGTTTTCCCTGGATTCCATGTGATCCAACCTTCCAGAGCAACTTACCATGTGGAACCTTATCAAAGGCCTTACTGAAGTCCATATAGACTATGTCTACCGCCCTGCCCTCATCAACCTTCCTGGTCACTTCGTGAAAGAACTCTAACAAATTTGTGAGACATGATTTCCCACGCACAAAGCCATGCTAACTATTCCTGACCAAACCCTGTCTTTCGAAATGCATGTATATGTTATCCCTCAGAATCTTCCCAAGTAACTTACCTACCACAG